AAAGGTCGTTTTTGCATCAACGTAGCGGACGGACGCAGGGACTTCGCGATCGACGACGGCGAGCAGACAATGCGGACGAGCAGCGGCGATGCGCGTGTTGCAGTCGCGCGCTGGGGATGATCGCGAACGGTGGTAATGCACGAACAGGTGTCGGGCCTTCGTGCGGTGGTCCTGGGCATCGCTGTTGGAACTGGCGTCGGGCCTGTGCAATGCGCGGCTGCGCTCGGCTGGGCTCGGGCGGCTTCCGGTGGCGATTGGCGGATTCCGGTGGTGGCTCACGGCGGCGGACGGCGGCGATGAGGTGATGATGTTGGCCGGAAATATATGTATATTAGAGGCTCAATATATTGTACCAAAAAGCCTTCTAATGGATTACCTAAACAACTACTTCGATCAAACTTGGTGGAGCCTTTAGTCGAATCTCCCGAACTCTCGAACAAAGATATTTCTCGCGCGTATGTAGAGGAAAAAATCGGCCAACACATCTCTTGTAGGAGAGATTGGGACATGGTGTATTTATAGGCTCCATTAGGGACCTTAAGGAGGTGCTAAATATAGGCTTATCCCATTTAGGCCTAGGAATCTTAATTCTACTCCAATACTAATTTAATGTAGGAAGGAGTTAACAAACCTCTTGCCCTCGCTGGTGTTAAGATTGCTCCTCCTCGTCCTTCTCTTGTTAAGGCATCTAATGTACCTTCACAGCTTCGCAATTTTTTAAACCATCTAGTGGCAGTTTTCGCGGGACTTGAGAAGAAAATGGCTGATCAGCGAAGGTACTACAAAGAGGTTCTGGGTGCTTTGAGGTCTCGTCCTTTGGTCTCTAAATTGAAAAAGGGGGAGAAAAAGAAGGATGTTGTTGTGGTTGCTGCAAAGAAGAAAGCTCTTGCTAAGAAGGAGAAGAAAACATTGGTTGTTGAAAGAAAGAAGAAAAAGGTGGTTATTGCTGCTGCTACACAAAAAGGGAAAGAGAAGGTCATTGCGGCGAAGGAAAAGGGAAATGAGAAGGTTGTGGAAGAAGATGAAGGTTCTGATGAAGAAAAGGGTGAAGAAGTTGGGTCTGATGCCGAGAATGAGGAAGAAGAAGCAGGCTCAGAGGAAGAGACAGAGGATGGCACTGAAGAAAGTTCAGGGGAGGAATTTGATGAGGAAGAATCTGCATAGCCATCCCTCAGCTGGATATTTATTTATGTTAAAATCTTTTGTTATGTTTGCTGAACTCATTTCCTTTTGTCTTTTCTTCTCCGTGCATGTGATGAATCCCTTTTGTTATTAATATCTTATGATATGTTTCCTTTATTCAGGTATTCGAGTTGTTCTTATGAACAAAAATTATGTGATGTGATAATTATTTGTGTGGCTGTTGAATCTAGTACAGGATAAGTAATTCATCATGCAGGTTCAAGGAAATGGTTTTCGATTTATCTGCCAAATGAGGAGATTGTAAGTTCAGGATATTGGCAGTAAATCGATGAACCTTCTGATGATCACGAGGTTCAGAAACATGAGGAAATATTTAAGGGAAGTTTATTTTTGGTATAAATGAAACCTGCTTCATTTAAGTCAAAATTGACTGATTATTTATTTTATTATTCTTCCAGGTGACAAGATTGAAGGGAGATTCACCTTCCATATTCAAAGAAGAAGAAGATCGCGGGATCTACCTTCCATATGCGTATATGTCTTGGACGTGAAGACTTACCAAAAGATGCTGAAGATAAAAAGAGGACGAGACCAGAGTTGAGGACGTGTTTTTTGTTTGGATTTTTGTGTTTTAATTTTTTTCCTTCCTTGAGTGAAAAGAGATATATAGAACACAGTTTTTTCTTTGTAACAGAATGTTCGGAAGTTCATTCTGATTTTGTTTGAGGATTCAAACTAGAAAATCCACAAGGGAGTTGTGGTCAGATAAGTAGTTGTGTGAAACATTATTTAAGTAGAGTGTAGAGAGAATCTATACTGTAAATCCTTGGATGATGTTTGAGTTGTTCACATTAATAAAAGAGATTTGAAGGGAGAGTGAGACGCTCCCCTGAAGGTTCAATTTTTAGTGAAAACTGCTCTCGCAATTGTTTGATTCTTCATTATTGTCTGTTTGTTCAATTTACGTGCAACTCTAGATACTTGGTGTTCAAGTATCAAATTTCAAAAACATAATTTAAAACCACAAAATAATATTGATTATGCATCATGAATAACATGGACAAATAATTCAAGTTAGCAAACTATCCGTAGATTCCTGACCCACCTAAGGACGAACATAAGTGCTTAAAAAAAATTAACAAACGCGGACTAATTTTTGCATCAAAAGGCTGAGAAAAGATCACCCAGGCTTCGATGAGAAGCTGAACCAACCTAATAACAGTAACATGATTTATTACTACTAAAATGGCCGCCATCCGGGAATCAAACCCCAGCACCAAAGAGGCTCCAATCATTCACCTTGAAACTTTGGACTGCATTTTTAAAGACCTCACTCATAGGCATACGTCCAGTCTGTGCTGCAGGTACCGCTAAACCGGCCCCAACCGTAGCAGCAGATTCACTCAAAGGGCTATAACAAGAAAAAATGCAAATTCATGTAAAAATGATACCGTTTGCCTTCAAATATGGGAAATTTCTATAATCAACATCCAAGGATGAAAAACAGATAATAAATACAAGATTCTAGTTCCCAAAGTATTTATAAACGATAATGGCAAGAGCTATAATTTGCAACTTACTTTATCAGCAAAGTCTCATAACCAATGATGAGGACATCTGTGGTAACATCCTTCAGCCTCAAATTAGCTAAATAGACCTGGAAAAACACCTGGTTGAGATCCAAGAGAAGAAGATCTAACTAATTACTGTATGAAGAAAAGTTGAAGTGCACCTTTACTATGTTCTGTGCGTCCCTTCCTTGTCTTCCCTTAGATATCGCCTACATAGATATGCAAAGTGCATTATTAAGTATAGAGATGAAATATCATTTCGTTATCGAACATGTTGATATCACGAAGTGTTACAAAACCAAGTTGCATAATTTGACTCATCAATTCCCAGTGGCATATATCTTAGTTTGATTTTTCGGGGCATAGAATAAGAATGTTGATCATGACGAAAAGTGACAAATAAAATAATGTTCGAGATGTTACAATGCACATTTGAAAAAAATCATGCTTTTAGATTGCAAGTAATCCATCCATTGCTTCTTTGTAAGTCCACCATGTTTTAATTAAAATAATGCATTAAAAGAGAAAAATATCCACTGAACCATTAGTCTTTTGACATTTTAGCAAAAGATTAAATATTCCAATTGGCATCAGTTTCAACTTTCTAAAAGTGAATCAAGCATTTCACAAAAACCATTGTACAGATCTACGTCAGCTAAGGAAGCAAAGGCAGTGTTATGCTGAACCCATTAACTCAGATAAAGAGAGGAAAAGGAAAAGATGTCCCAGAATATGTGTAGTAACATAATTTATTCTTCTTTTTTTCCTTCGCATGGATGTTTGTTTGGTACTCAAAAAGATTGTTTCTTTAGCTAATAAAAGAAGAAACGGTGTCAAGTATGTCAACTTCACAGTAATAAAAGCAGATTATTGTATTCTAAATAAAAGTGCAGAAGAGAAGATTCTATACACCATTTGTCCAACTGCAGTTGTTATGATACCAGGATTGTTCCTAAACCGTAGTCCATCAGCCTGAAAAACTTCAGACTGCTCAAGCACCTGTCATATTCAAAGAAGAAAAAAAAAAAAAAAATTAACATCACTATTATCCATAAAACTCAATAAGGTCAAATCCTATGTTGCACGGATTACTCCTACAGTTGACAACAACATAAGAACAAAAAAGTGGCAGCAATAAACTACGAGTCTCCTGTCCTCCTATTCCTTTTTTCTATAACAACAAATCTGCTTCATTTCCTAATCCTTTTAAACAGAGTAAAAACTAATGAAACCATCAAATGAACTTTTCATTCTTCCAACATTACGGAGCTGTTTCAAAGAAAGATTACCACTAAGTTATCTAATAGCAAAAAGCACACTTCGTTATGCAAATAATACTGCATATGAATAAGGAATATATCATCAAACATACATAATGCAGACGGTACATCAGAAAAAATAATCTTTACGCAAACAAAACCAGCTTTTATAATTTTTCCGTGAGAGAAATATGCATATAAATTCAATAAAATAGAGAATGCTTGTCATGAATAAGTCTCCGTTAGTTATTAAATCATCACAAAGCAACGAAATCCATCTTGACTGCTGGAAGCAAAAAAATTAAAACACATGAACAATTGCAGCCTTTTCCTCAAATCGCACAAGCAAGGATCAAAAACCTGAAAGGAATAAACACTCAATATGCAATCACAACCTCTAGTAAACGTAAGATTGCTCTCATCAAAGCAAATAGTGCACGCATAAAATATTTTGCCTCCCATCCACTTTTCAAACTTGCTACGCTCCTGATAGCAACAGAGCTTCATAACACATCCAAGGCAACTAGGTCTTAATGGACAGACGTGGACTTGTTATTGAGCAGTTGGTAGTGAACTAAAAGCACTCCGAACATTTCACTTGATTCTACCCACCCCCAATACTTGATGAATTCTAAAACTAACAAGTAATCACTTCTAAGTAAGTTAATTTCAGTGTACCACTAAAGGCAGCTAGGTACACTATTCAGAGCAGAACACACAACATCTGTAAATAAGGCGAATAAAAAGATCAACGATCAGCCTATACCACAGCTCCCTCAGCATCTTGCTCATTAGCGAGGTCCTGAAGAAACCAGGTAGCACTACCATGATCCGCCACGTCAGTCTTCAAGTCGAGCAACTCAAACATCAAGCTTTCATCGCGTGTTGGATCTACAAACGCCTCCTACAGAAACACAATGCTTTGAATTACCCCCAACAACTGTAAAAGGCAAAGCCCTAAACCAAATAACACCGAGAAAATAAAAATCATAAAGCAAAATCGATTAAAAAAAAAAAAATTAGCTAAAAAGCTGCAAGTAATGACTGACCTGATGATCAGGAACTTGGCGAACGTTACTGACGTCCTACACATATCAAATCATGGCTAACATTAATTTCAACTGCATTCATCCTATTTAACACACAGACACACCGCTCACGCTCGCGAAAAAAAATAAAATAAAATAAAATACATAGCATTAAAGAGAACAAAAAGACGCAAACCTCAAAACGAATGGGGAATGTGGAGACGATGGCGCCGCCGAAGAGAGAACGCTGAGTGCAGAACTCTGCAGCCATTTTTTTTTTTTCAGTATTTGTTTTCTAGAACTACTGTGTAACTTCTAAAAGGCGTCGAAGAAGTGTGGCGGATGGAAGATTTTATATCTGCTGCCAAAACTGTAATAAATAGTCGCGTTAGCTTGACGGTGACGCTGGATCATTTCGTTGGATAATGGGTATTGAAATAAAGTTGGATCCGACCCGCAAATTTAACTGACCATTAAATGGGCCACCTATGTGCACTCATAGGGGCACTAATGGGCCAAGATGTATATTGCACTAATGGGCCAAGATGTATATTCGATTAGATTCGTTTGATATTTCCAAGAGGGTGCTTTGGACAAAATAAACAAAAAAACTATTTTCATTTTTTTTTCCAACGACATAAAAGATCTCATTAAAAAAAGTCAAGAGGCAATGTACAAAGATAGGCCTGGAACCCGGGAATGAGAGGTTACAACCCCACCGATGCAACCTAGACGAAACACTACTAGCAATACTAGAATAGCAACCACACCGAAAGACAAAAAAAAACCACAAACCACACCAAAAAACAACATAAAACACTCTCAACAGGAGAATGCCCTAATGTGCTCCCAATAGAAGAATTAAGGTACACTCGGGCCAACTGGAGCCAAACAGCTCAAACCTAAAACACAACACCAAAAACTAACACTCACAACACGAATACTGAAATAAAAACATCAAAACGACTACATACTAAACGAGCCCTTCCCCAACGAACCCAAAGCAAATCCAACCATCAGTGAACGATCAACCCAAAGAAGATATCAAGCCCATGAACTACTACCGAAATTGCACGAACGCATATATAGTAGGTGAACCCGAGAGCCAAAAATAATCCTCGAATCGACCCATCTCCAACCGAGTGAACCCCAACCAGCCCCACCGACCTCGTCTAAAACCAATATGCGAAATCGATAGGACCCGGTGCCCCTCCGCCAAACACCACTTGCCGGAGAAGGAGAGACTCGATCAGGGCCACAAACCCGACCACCGAGCAACAAAGCCACAGCAACCGGCGTCCCGCCCCACCCAAAGACGAACGCTCCACCCGACAACACCACGAACCACCCGCGACTCGACATCCAGTCCCAACACCAAGGAGTGGAACCACGCCGGAACAAAAATCCCACGAAATGAAGACGAGAAGGGGCCAAAATGATTACCTTCACTGTAACACCCCGCCTAGACTTACTAAAATCAGAGTAAATTTTTCGCGCTATAAAAGGAAAGCACTTATTTAATTTTCGAAAAATCATATCAATTTTTTGAAAATACTTTAACTTTAAAACGCGAGATGCTACTCAACTTTAATCTTATATCTTTATCACTATAATCTATCATGCATGCGACCAAGTAAATCATTCTAGAATTAAGGCCATCAATAATACCGGATAAAACTTGCATATTCTGAAAATCTGACATAATCTAACATCTGAAATAATAGTCTGAAAACTGACGTCTGAAACACAAGTCTAACATGCGGAAGCAAGTACAAGTTCAGAAAAGCACACAAGCATAAAACAAACATAGATAATTCAAACATGTTCAAATACTATATGACATGATTTCACAAAAATGTCCTGAAGCTGGACCAACACCACATAACTGCTTATGCTCCACGCAGGACTCCATCACCTGAAATATAGGGTAGTAGGGAGGCGTGAGCACAAAGGAATCAACGGTGCTCCGCCGGAACCGGCACTAAATACTCAACACAATTAATAACAAACTATGGAATCAACATATATATGAATAAACTAGTCTGGCTATGGGACTAACGGTAAACCGGTACTCATGTGCACACTCTGGGGGTCCCCTCCCACAGAAATCCAGGCTGGGCCTCGCCCACTCATCTGGACGCTAAACTTAGGTTGGGCCTCGCCCACTCATCTAAGTCATAACTGACATCTGATATCTTGACCAAGACGGGATCACTCATCCGTCTCGGTCCTTCAATTTAATCACATATAGATCTCAGACATGGTAAATTATTAAAAGCGATGAAATACACAGTACATGGTCCCCACCTGGAAACTGGCGAATGCAAAGGCTGAAATATCTGAAATGGATAGCTGATGGAGGCTCGACTCTCCTCAAGCTACAAAATATATTGAACAAAATATTCTAAGTACTAAGCTCAGAATAAAACTCAAATCCTTAATATCTTATATATCTAGGTTCGCTCACTCGGCTTTAAAAATCATTTTAGGGATTTACGAGCTGATTTTGAAAATATTATCGTTGTTGAGGCATCCTAGAGTTCTCTGAAATATTTATAAGTCTGGGACTAGAATCTGACTGAAATCTAAACTATATTTGAATCTTAACTCTATCTGAAATTCTTAACTTTATCTGAAATCTTAATCTGACATTCTATCTGAAATATATTTCGAACAGTCCGGGCTGACCGGACCGGCTCGACTGAATTGGACTGACGGCTCACTCGGAGTCGGTCGGTCATTCTCTTGACTATGTGCAGCTCGGTTTGACTGTGGTCCGAGTTCAGCGTGGCGACTCGGGCCGGCACGAACTCGACTGACACGGCTTAGCCGATGCACGAGTTTGAACGGTGCCACGGTCACTGACGCAGGGGCGTGCTTGGACCACGGCTAACAGAACGACGCGTAGACGGCAAGTCGGATGGACTTGGTGCACGGGCATGCATTCGGGGGTTTAACTCGGACTCGGTGCACGGGCACGCACTCGGCAGCTCAGCTCCAACGGTCGGACGAGAGGCGATCACGGGCACGAGACGATGATACGCATTACGAATTACGATACGACGGTTAAAGATAATCTAGACGGTACTATGGTTCAATCATTTAAAATCAGATCCAGAAATATACCCGGTTATCGGAACCGGATAAAACTAGGGTTTTGATTCCAGAAAATCCTAACTCAATTAAGGCCGATAATTAATATACATATTCTATGTAATTTGTAATAAATCTATAATCCAAAACTCCAGCTAAAGTCTCAATCAAACTATTATTTTATTTTTACGACATTAATATTTATAGTCTCGATTTTTATAACTAAGTCAAACAACATCCAAAATTTACGAAAATTGAAACATAACATCCTCAGTATATATATAGTCTATGGTCAACATCTCAAGTCAAAAGTAAACTCCTAACTCAGTCAACTAAAGATCGCTACGACCGGTCAACGCATTTGACCGAGCCCGTCTACCTATCAAACGACGTCCGAAAAATCTCAAATTGCAACCTAAGCCTCAAAATGACGTAACGAATTTTTTTGTATTTATTCCAACATTTTATCGCATTTATTTAAAAAGTCGAACATATTCGCTTTAAGCCCGAAAATCCCGATTTATTCAAAATCACTCAAATCCCCAATTTATTAATTTTATATCATCTCAAATATTTTACTAAGCCATTAAAATCGAGTTCTAGTGATTATACCTCACAATGCTCGAAAATGAGCGGATCGGGATAGCACAATAGTAGATCGGGCTAGAACAAGGGGAAAAAGAGGAAGGTGGGTCGGATCTTGAACTACAAAGTTGATGTCGGGTCGAACTCGGGCTATGGGCCACATCTCGTTGTAGATCTGGGCTTGGAGAGCTGTTGTCGGGCCAGCTTTCGAGCTTGGTGCAAAGTGGGTCGGACCTGGCTCGGTCGCGCGCGTGAGAGGTTTGGATGGGAGCTGGTCGCGCGCGTACGGTGGTGCTGTCTGGGAAGGTCGCGGGTTGTGGGTTTCAGCGGCGAACTGAGTCGGGCTCGCGACTGGGCTGAGACCTGAGCTAGGCGACTCGACGCGGGGCTGGGACATGGTCGACGCGTGCGAGAGCGAACTTAAACATACCTGGACTCACGAACGCGAGCAGAGACGAGGCGTTGCAGCGCGCACACGGACAGGACTCGGGGGTGTGCGCCGGTACAGACTCGAACAGGGCGACGTGGTTGCAGACGCGCGACTCGAGTCTTCTAGCGCGGGTCTAGAGGGAGACGAGTTGTGATGGTTCTGCGAGGCTCGAGCTTGGTGAGCCTTGGTCTTCGGTTGCGGGTTTCACCGGAAACTCGCCGTATTTGGCCGGATTTTTGAAAGTGTGGCTGTGGAGGTGCTTTTTTTTTTGTAGAAGATGAATAGTGGAAGGTGGAAGATGATGGTGTGGTGTTTTGAGCTAAGGGTTCTATTTATAGAATGTACAAATGCTAGGGTTTCTTGTGTGTGTTGGGCTTTTTATTGGGCTCGATATTTAATCGATTCGGGCTCGAAAATAATTGCTACTTAGACCGAATAAATAGATGTAGGCTCGGTAATAAAAATAATTAGGCCGACTGTCGAAATAAAAATAGTCCACTTAAATGGGCCTGGAATTTGGGCTAGGATAATTAATTCGACTATACAAATTAAAAATGGGCTTGCTAAAATTATTGGATTCGCTCAAAATTAATTAAGCTCGAATAATTAAATTATTCGGCTTCGGATCACTTAAATAAAAATTCCAACTTTAATAATTAAAGTCGGAAGAATTATTCATGGCTTAGACTTTAATACTAATTATTTAATTTAATGAAAATAAATTTAAATAATGCATCAAATTAGAAAGTTAATATTTATGGAAATATAGTCGAGCTCCATAAATAGTAAATAAAAATCTGGGCGTTACAATCTATCCTCCTTAAAATATTTCCGTCCTCGGAAATTCCAAAACTAATCATAAGTCTGACTCGACTATAAACTAGGAATCGAAAATACATAATACTAATCAGAACTGAAACTCAGGATAACGGGCACGAATCTCCTCCTCTCGCTCCCACGTGGCCTTGGTCTCGCCTTGGTGAGTCCACTGGACTCGAACGAGCGCTACATCTCTGCTCCTCAGCTGCTGAACCTTTCAGTCCAGAATAGCAATCGGATGCACCTCGTACGTCAGGTCCTGCCCGACGTCAAGCTCACTGTAACTCAACACGTGCGCTGGGTCATACACGTAATCCTTCAACATCGAAACGTGGAAGACGTTGTGCACACCTGAAAGCTCGGGTGGCAATGCCAACCGGTATGCAGCCTCATCCACTCGCTCGAGGATCTCGAATGGGCCTAAGAAACGGGGCTGCAACTTTCCCCTCTTCCCGAAGCGGACCACGCCTCTCAAAAGAGTGATCTTCAGGAATTCCTTATCTTCCTTCTCGAACTGGATATCTCGTCTACGCTGGTTAGCGTAACGCTTCTGTTGATCCTGTGCCACCTTCATCCGCTCATAGATCAAGAAAACCTTCTCCACCGTGTCCTCGATCAGCTTCGGACCGAGAACCTGCCGTTCGCCGACCTCATCCCAATAAAGGGGTGATCGACACTTGCGACCGTACAACGCCTCGTACGGCGCCATCTTGATCGACGCCTGATAGCTGTTGTTGTACGTGAACTCAATCAACGGCAACAACTCCTCCCATGAACTACCACAGTCCAGAACACATGCTGGAAGCATGTCTTCGAGTGTCTGGATGGTCCGCTCCGACTGCCCTTCGGTCTGTGGGTGGAAAGTTGTACTGAACCTCAACTATGTCCCCACGGCCTCGCTGAGGCTCTTCCAGAACTGACTGGTAAAACGGGGATCTCGATCTAACACTATGACCTTGGCGACTCCATGAAGTCGCACTACCCCGCGGATATAGATACTCGCGAGCTGGTCCATGGGCATCGTCATCCGCACGGGCAAGAAACGAGCCGACTTCGTCAGTCGGTTCACAACTACCCAAACTGCATCATGCTGCTCCCTCGATTTGGGTAGTCCCGTAACGAAATCCATGGTAAGCTCTTCCCACTTCCACATTGGGATCTCCAAGGGCTGCACTAAACCCGATGGAAACTTGTGCTCGGCTTTCACCCGCTGGCAAACCAAGCACTTCTTCACAAACTCAGCAACATCTCCCTTCATGCCCCTCCACCAAAACGACCCTTTCAGGTCGTGGTACATCTTGCTGCCGGGGTGCGCCAAATAGGGTGCACTGTGAGCCACGGTCAAGATCTCTTTCCTCAGGGCCTCGACATTCGGCACAACAAGCCTTCCCTTATACTCCAAGGCACCATCTGCGCCTCGGTAAAACCCCTCTACGCCCTCGCCAACAACCTTCGCCCTCATGGATCAGACGAACTCATCAACGAACTGATCTCTCTGAACTCGATCTCGGAGCATGGGCCACACTCTCATCGACCAAACGCCTCCTACTACAGGCATCGTAGGAAGTGACTCGACAACGTCTAACTGCATCCGAGCGAACTCTCGAAGGAGCTGACTCTGCTGGGTGATCATGCAAGTCAACTCGCCCCTCGCCTTTCGGCTAAGGGCATCAGCTACCACGTTCGCCTTCCCCGGATGATACTAAATGGTGCAATCATAATCTTTCACTAGCTCCAACCATCGCCTCTGGCGCATGTTGAGCTCCTTCTGCGTGAACATATACTGCAAACTCTTGTGATCGGTGTATATCTCACACCGACCACCATACAAATAGTGCCTCCATATCTTGAGTGCGTGAACAACGGCTTCCAACTCAAGGTCGTGAGTCGGGTAATTCTCCTCGTGGGGCTTCAGCTGCCGCGAAGCGTATGCGACAACCTTGCCCTCCTGCATCAGCACGCACCCAAGTCCCTGCTTCGAAGCATCACTGTATATAGTGAAACTCCGTGTAGGGTCCGGTATAGTCAGCACGGGCGCTGTAGTCAACCTCTCCTTGAGCTCCTGAAAGCTCGACTCACAGCGACGACTCCACTCAAACTTAGTCCCTTTCCTCGTCAAACGTGTCAAGGGTAGGGCTATCTTCGAAAACCCCTCGATGAACCTCCTGTAGTAGCCTGCTAACCCGAGAAAACTCCGTATCTCAGTAACATACCTCGGTGCTGACCAGTTCCTCACTGCCTCGACCTTCCCGGGATCGACCTCAATGCCCTCGGCCGTAACGATGTGACCGAGGAACGCCACTCGATCGAGCCAAAACTCGCACTTTGAGAACTTGGCGTATAGTTTCTCCCGCCTAAGAGTCTCCAACACGATCCTCAAATGCTCCTCGTGTTGGGCTGTGCTCCTCGAGTAGACCAAAATGTCATTTATGAAGACGATGACAAACTGGTCCAAGAATGGGTGG